TCACCCTAGACATTATTTCCATGTTTCCTTGGACTCTTTACCACTTTATCAATTCAATGCACACTCTCTTCAATCACTTGGCCTACTGCAATGACTAGTAAACATGCTTGCTTTGGATCGTCCATCACATTTAATGGACGTTCTCTATTTTTTTGGAGGGGGAGGGGGGAGGGCGGCCAATCTGTTGTATCTCATTTCGTCTTAACACTATGATCATCAAGTCATTTCATCTCCTCTATCCAGTAGAGTAGCACTACTTAATGCGACTCGATTGACTACTTTCATCTTCTACTTCGCGATCGAATAAGCTATTCAAGATGGCGGACTTTCCGACTACGCATCGGTGGCCTACTGGCTGATCCAATCCTTCTTCTACAGTACTCCTGCTTACCACCACATGGCCTTCCTGATGGAATGTGGCCTTGTCTTTACTTTGCTTCGGTGACATAATATTCAATCTTTGCTTTTGTAGTCAAGATCAGCTCTAGTCTAAGTGCATTAGCTTCAATATGGTGCATGCAAGATACTGCAAATCGATCATGTAGCCATGTCTGCTGTGGAATTGGACAACGCCATCAGAAAATGGGCAGCATCCACCGCCTGCCTAACCCTTGCAATGATTCTAAACGAGGCGCGATTAGCCTTCTTATTAAAGGTACTAATGTCAGTAACTACCGCCAGGACGGTGGACTGTATGTCTTGCTGTAGCCAACCGCCCAATGTTCTACTCCAAGCTTGGTTTGTGCACTGCCCCTTGAGCAATACAGTATACTCTGAATGTTGACTAAGAAGGGACAATCTTCTTCTTCCACTTAAATAGCTATGGTGGCGTGATAAAAGACATGATGGAAGCTAGTAGAAGCAGACAATCAGTGGAGAGAATCTTTTGTCGACCTTAGGGCATGCAGCCATGATAAGGCATGACGGTGCATTGCCAGCTCATGACGCAGCATCCTCTCCAATCCGTTTTGAAATGCGTTGTAAGACTAGAATCCCAATTTGCCATCTCTGTATGTTGACGAACCAATAATAAGCATGGCTAGGCAGTCTTCTTCGACTTCAGTGCTTATGGTGGCACGATAAAAGACATGATGGAAGCTATTGCAAGCAGACAATCAGTGAAGAGAATCTCTTGTCGACCTTTGGGCATGCAGCCATGATGAGGCATGATGGTGCATTGCCAGCTCATGGCGTAGCATCCTCTCCAATCCGTTTTGAAATGCGTTGTAAGACTAGAATCCCAATTTGCCATCTCTGTATGTTGACGAACCAATAATAAGCATGGTTAGCCAGTCTTCTTCGACTTCAGTGCTTATGGTGGCACGATAAAAGACATGATGGAAGTTATTGCAAGCAGACAATCAGTGAAGAGAATCTCTTGTCGACCTTTGGGCATGCAGCCATGATGAGGCATGATGGTGCATTGCCAGCTCATGGCGTAGCATCCTCTCCAATCCGTTTTGAAATGCGTTGTAAGACTAGAATCCCAATTTGGCATCTCTGTATGTTGACGAACCAATAATAAGCATGGCTAGGCAGTCTTCTTCGACTTCAGTGCTTATGGTGGCACGATAAAAGACATGATGGAAGCTATTAGAAGCAGACAATCAGTGAAGAGAATCTCTTGTCGACCTTTGGGCATGCAGCCATGATGAGGCATGATGGTGCATTGCCAGCTCATGGCGTAGCATCCTCGTCCATCCGTCTTGAAATGCGTTGTAAGACTAGAATCCAAATTTGCCATTTCTGTATGTTGACGAACCAATAATAAGCATGGTTAGCCAGTCTTATTCGACTTAATTGCTTATGATGGCACGATAAAGACATGATGGAAGCTATTAGAAGCAGACAATCTCTTGTCGACCTTCAAGCATACAGCCATGATGAGGCATGATGGTGCATTATCAGCTCATGGCATAGAATCCCCTTCCATCCGTCTTGAAATACGTTATAAGACTAGAATTCAAATTTGCCATTTCTGTAGGTTGACGAACCAATAATAAGCATGGCTAGGCAGTCTTCTTCGACTTCAGTGCTTATGGTGGCACGATAAAAGACATGATGGAAGCTATTGCAAGTAGACAATCAGTGGAGAGAATCTCTTGTCGACCTTAGGGCATGCAGCCATGATGAGGCATGACGGTACATTGTCAGCTCATGACGCAGCATCCTCTCCAATCCGTCTTGAAATGCGTTATAAGACTACTGTAGAATCCAAATTTACGATCTCTGTACAGTATGTTGACTAATAAAGAATAAGAATGGTCAGCCAGTCTTCTTCGACTTCAGTGCTCATGGTGGCACGATAAAAGACATGATGAAAGTTATTGCAAGCAGACTATCAATCAAGAGAATCTCTGGTAGACCTTAAGCCATGACGGTGCATTGTCAGCTAATGGCGTAGCATCCTAGCCTGAGTCATCATGACACAGCACACGATGGCACAAATCGCTTGGCAAATAATCAACTTGTCTGCGTTAGCACGAGGTGGAAATGCAAGATAGTTTATTGCTGTATCAAGGATATAATCAACACTTGATCTCTTGCAACATCTAGTGATGGACTACTAGAAATGATTACTAGTCACTTCGAGTAGTGTATTCATGATCATTCCATCCTCTATCAGGGTTGAAGAAATGTCTAAATGAAACCCAACTTCCCCTATCAAACAGTTAGTATTCGATGGGAAAATGAGCAAACTTTTTCGTGCTTGGAATGATCCGTAAAGCAACACTTGATGCAAAAATGCAACCCAAGTTTTATCCTATTCTCTCAGACTAACACCATATAGCATCCATCGGCTGCGTAGCACAGCACTATACAGTCCTGTACTATAGCAATTCATTTCATTCGGTCATCTACTCGACTTATTAGAATATAGTAATCCTACGGAGACCTTTTATCACATAGAGTG